AGGTCTCCGTCGGAAGGACTAGAGAAGGATTAAGCCCCACTGGGGGTTTGCTACGTCGGGTTGGGCCGCGGATTAAGCCAGATTGAGCGGGATCCAGCGGGATCAAGCTGGATGTCGGACCAGGGCAAAGTCAGAAGTTAACCTCACAGGACTTGCATCCGAAGGCAGGGGGAGGGGGACAACTTTTTAGAAGGAGGCTGCTTCTTGGGAGGCGCCAGCCACACCCCTACAGACAAAGCGCGCGCTTCTTGAGAAGCAAGGATGCTTCTAAGTAGCCCTCCCTCCTCCCCCTACCCCCTCTGCGCGTGGCCGACCACTGCTGCTCTCTACCACGCCATGGCACGACGATGCACCGATACTGATTCGAGAAGGGCGTCCATGCATGGTACCATGTCTGGACTCGCTTCAAACCCCGCTCCTAATTACGCTGTACGGTGCCTAACTTGTTCGGTTCTGAGGGCAGAAACAATTATGCGCCGTAAATTCCCCGGGTCGAGGATCGACGAGGCTTCGGGAGGTGCCAACGCGGCAGAGTGTGCAAGAGTCGTCCGCGGAACTAATGGGACAGGGCCCTCATTCCTGATGTGCGGCACCAAATGCTAATCTCAGAACGTGTTATATGCAGCGAGCCGACGATAAAAGGACGAGCACGAGCGCATCAGATCCTCAGAGGCCGTCAGCTGGCTTACCCCCCGCATCCTCCCATTCACCCTCGTTCTCACTCACAAATTGCCCTCGCTACCTCACCCGTATCCATTCCTCCTCCCAAACCTTCCCCGCACCCGAATGATCCTCCATCATCCTCCTGCTCCTCAGCCACCCCGCCTGGGCTCCAGCCGAGACCACTTGTCCTTCACCGTGCTCAGGGCAAAATAGGTGCATCCCTGGTGCTCGTCGCACATCCTGAGCTGGCCAATCACAACTGGGGGAGCCCTGCTCCTGACCAGATCAGTACATCTACAATACCTCTCCCTGGACCTCTCCTTGAAAGCATTCGGACGTGGCGTCGGGCGCCGGGCGACGGCGTGGTGACGGGTCCCTCCAGAAGGCCCCACAAGGGCGCAAGCAAGGGAACGGCATCGGCGACGATATATCGTCCCCATTCCGACAACAACAAAAACATTATATGTTGTGTCGGACGACCCCCATCATGGAGGTTCCATGTATCAAGATTCTCTGCCCTAGATGCAAATTATTTGCGCATACTTTGCATGTCTGGAACTTGTCCATGTTAACAACGTTTGCTCTTTATCAAGAAACACTAAATGTCTAGCCCAGATGAATAAATTCCGTGCTTAGTAATGATGCCCGTCGGACGGAAAAATGAATAAAAACATGAAGTAAGAAAACGGTGGAAGTAGGTTGGATCTCCCCCGCTTCCTGGAGAGGACGGAAGAATGAACAAACTCGTTCCTTGAAATGAAAAAAAAGCACCAGAAGTGGATTTGATCCGAAAATCCTCGAACACATACTGGCAACGACCTGTGTGTACATGTCCGGGGCGTCGTATGCATATCTGTATGCGAACACACGCACAAACGTGAACGCGTTTTGCCGCTGCTGGCCTGGGGTAGATGGGTCGGTGTCCCCCCAGGAAAAAACAGTTCCGGACCCAACCACCTCCCAACTTTGAAAAATTATTCGAAGGAGGGGTCCCAAACTCTCCTCAGCCCCCCTCCCCAAAACAAATTACTCGGAGGGCGCCGACCCCACCTTTCCCCCCGGAGTATTAATCGACAGGTCCAGAAGCCCTTCCGTCCCCCCCTGATTTTCTGGGAAAGGTAGGAGCCATCCGAATAATTGTCCGACGAGGGGGGGATGTGGAGGGGGGGGGGGGGATATGGACCCCCTCGAATAATTTGTAAGTTTCTTGCCGTGGGGGGAGGGTCCAGACCTCCTGGATCTTTGCGGAGGGGGGGAGGGAGTTAAAAGAGGTGGGTGGGCTCCCTGGTTCCTGACCACCCCCCCGTATGTGTTTTTTTTGTTTTTTCGGAGGGGTGGGGGGCCATGGTTTCTGACCCTGCCTGATTGCCAACTGATTAGGCCAACGACGGTGGATCGCGCTCCCTTCATATGAGAATGTGAATAAGCACATGTGTATATATATATATATATATACATCTACACGAGTGTACGTTTTTATTCATGTATATACATGTGTATATGATTATATATACGCACATGACTGTGCACACATATATATGTGTGTGTATATATATGTATATATATATATATATGTCCACCCATATATATATATATATATACACATATATATATATGATACAGATACGCGTGCGCCACCGCCCCCTCGTGGCACGACCTGGAATGCCCTCGGGTCTTTGGCCGTGCCCCTCGGGCCTTGGGCCTCGATCAGGAGGATTCCCCCGAAGGCCCAGACCCCCAAAATCGCCGAGTCGGCCGCGGGGGGGCCGCGTGCCACCCCGGGTGCGTCGGGGGTTCTCGCCCCGCATGTCGGCCCTAAGAGGGCCCAAAGAGAACCCCCAGACGGTCTGAGAGGGCCTCGGATCGCCGAGCAACCGGTCCAAGACGCCCGAGGCGGCCTCCAATCGGCTGGAAAGCGCCCAAGACGCACCAAGAGGCCTCCGAGACCTTCTCCGAAGAGGGCCCCGATATGCATTAGCATGGATTGTCCGCTGGTTTTTCGATGAAGTTTCGTCTTTCTCGCCTTTGCGGTTCCCCGCATTCCAAGACGGCTTGATATGCCCTTTGGAGATTTCGCCAAGACGGCCAAAGAGGCCTCGAAAGGAGTCCCAAAATGGTCACACGGTCACGGACGACATCAATATGGCCCAAATGCATCCAAGTCGGCCCAGGAGGCCACCAAAACTGCTCCCAGGAGGGTCGCAGACGGGGGGCCCGAACGGAGATCTCGAACCCTCGGCCCCGAAAAACTTCCCGGAAGCCTCGCATGCCCCCAAGAGGCCCCAAGGAGGTCGCAAGATGCCCCCAGGAGGCCCCAAGAGGCTGGCCAGAGGCTTCAACACTTTCCCCGAACGGCCCCGCTTCCGACATGGGCGGCACGGCGCATTCGCAAACCCACCCTCCGCTTGGACCTTGGAGTTCCTGCCCCCAGAATTTGACAGTTGCCGCGGCCCCCCGCGCGACGCGCCCCTCACGCGAGCACCTGGCATTGGCAATCTGCTGGGCCATGTCGTCCAATAGCTGGTTCATGGATCTGCCCAATGCGCGTCTGAGAGGCGGCCGGGGCGCGGCGAGAGACTCATTCATTTTCTCGACCAGTGTCGCCACTGCGACGGTCTCTTCGGCCCGGGGTTGGACATCTAGGAAAGGTGCCGACACCGGAAACTCACGCTCGCGGTCCGCGATGCCCTGGGGGGCCCACGCCTCGAGCGAGGCAGCGGCCGACCTTCCGAGACCGCCCGAGTTTTGCTTGCCCCGGAGACGCCGAGCTTGCCGCGCTTGCCCCCTGAAGCCAATGCGACCCAAGAGCTCCTCCGAAACAGGAAGTTTGATCGGGGCGTGCTTCGGCGCGGGGGAACGGCGTCGCGCGCGATCGTGCGCGCAGTGAATGACGCCGCGCAAATGCAGGCCCATGTCCAACGAGTACGGCGCCGCGAGAAAGGCCTCAAGACGTTCGCGATCAGCGGCCTTCCTTTTCCATGGGGCCATGGGCCCTCGCCGCGTCAAATCATCACGCGGGGCTGCAGGTCTTTGCTCCAGGGCTCGAGGCGAACGAGCGCAAGGAAATTATCGCTGCCAGTGCAGAACGAATCGACGTCGCATTCCACCAGCGCCTCTCCAGTGGCGGGAACCATCGATTGTTCAAGCGCCGTGAAATCGATTCTGTTGCGGGCCTCAGACCCGGGCGCAACGCGCGCGCGCGAGTCCACGGTTGCGAGCGGGGCGAGAACATCCACCGCCGCCAGTCCAAGAGCGCGGCGTCAATCCTGCCTGAATCCTCCTCCGCCAACAACATTCCAAAGTGCGCTGCCTACTCTCGCCTGCAGTGCAGTCTGGGCCTTCCATGAGCTACGCGGCATAATCAACTCTCGCCGCCATGGTCAGGGCCCAAAGCCTCTTTCATCATGTCTGCCGTCGCGCGGGGCCCCCCTGGGCGCCGAAGCGCGCGAGCGTGTCCAATGTGATATGCAATGTGTGCGTCCCCGGGTGCCTCCTTAAACGCCGCAATTCCAGCTCCCCGCAATGCTCGGGTGCCTCAACTAGCGCCGGCGGGAGCTTGCGCCCAACCTGACTTCGCTGGGGCATCTGCGAGCTAGGTCCAACGACAACCAGCGTGCCCACGGACATTTGCAAATGCGTGCGCGCTGAAACGCGCGATGCGTGAGCCGTGCCAAATGCTGGTTCGCCGACGGAACTTCGTGTCCCAAGGAAATGTTGGCCGCGGACTGGCTACCGAACAAAGCATCAAGGCCCTAGGGCAGTGGGGGGGCTGCGCGCTGGGCCCGAGGGGCCCAAAGCCCGCGACGAGCTCCAGAGTATCTCCATCGACCCGGACGTAGCGCTAGCGATCTCATCCTTCGCAGAATGCATGCGCGCAGAATCCCGCGCGAATTCTCGTGCCAACCAAGGGAGCTGATCGACTCGTCTTGCATGGTCTCCACGGCTGCGAACGGCCACGCAGAGTCCCCGAGCGAGCTTCTGCGCGACGCATCGACGTGCACATGAGCTGACTTCGCTCTTCGCCCCGCGCGCAGAGATACTTGGCGCGAACTTGGCAGCGGGACGGGCGGGCATGCCCCCAGAGTCGCCATTCTATAATTGAACCACATGCTGTTCTGAAATGCAGCCCCGGAGAGTCCGCCGGCCCCCTGGCGCCCGCAAGAGTTGCCGCCGTCGATTGCGCGACTCTGACAAGGTGAGAGCGGAAGCGGAGCGCGGCAATGCGCCTGACCCCCCCCCCCGAAGCTAACTCGCGCCCTCTGGCAGCTGCGTCGAGCTGGCCCCCTGGGCGGCGCGGGGCGCGGCGGCGGCGGGATCGGGGGGGGAGCCTGGCCGCAACTGCAGCTGGCGTTCGGCTTGCCTCGCGCCCCGGCCCGACGCGCTGCGGTTCGCGAGGGCGAGGCCGCAGCGACAGATGGCTCGGAGGCTTGCCGCTGAGGCGGCGCCTCGCCTGGGCGTCGGGCAGGCCCGCGCGCCGCGCGGGCAAACTCGCGCGCTGCATAGTGTCCTCGGCAGCTGGCTCTGAAGCGGAAGCTACATATTCGTCCGCGCTGCCTGCCTCCGAATGTTCATCGCTGGACTCCTCGGGCGAAACTCCCCGAGCAGGAGTCGGCTTCACAACCGACTTGGCGAAACTGCTTCGCGCCAGCATTTCCCCGCCGCGACGGGAATTCACGCGCGGACTGGGGTCGGGCTGCCTGACCTCTGGGACCCCCCTGACTCAAATCGGACTCGCATCCTCCACCTCGCACCCCAAGCGCTGAGTCCTCCTGGGTGGGGATGGGCCCTTGGACGGGGATCCCTGCTGGCCCTCCTCTTTGGCCCCCTCGTCGAGCGGGCGGATCCTCGGAGCTGGCGGCGCGCCCGGGACGGGGGAGGCCGCGCCTGTCCTCGAAGCCGCCGCCGATGTCGCTGCCCGGAACAGCGCCGTCGCGGCCGCCGCTGCCTCGACAGGAAGCGTCGCCGGGGATGGCTGCGTCGGAAGCGGCGTCTGGCTTGCGAGGTCGATCGGCGGCCGGATGCGCCGCAGTCGGCTCGCTGGGCCAGGAGGCGTCGTCTCCTCCATCTTCATGGGCTGCGTTGCCTCCAGGAGCGGCGGGTCCACCGGCGCCTCCTCCTGCGTCTCCTCTGCTGGTGGGGCGGCTTCGGTTTCCTGAGCCTTGTCCGCCTTGACCCCCTGCTCCTGCTCCTCCTCCTCCTCCTCCTCCTCCTCCTCCTCCTCTTCCTCCTCCTCCTCTGCCTTCGGCGCATCTGGGGCCTCCGCTTCCTGGGGCGTATCTTGGCGCCCCAGGTTCGGCTGAGGGCGCGCTGATGTGCGTGTGGGCGGAGGGATCATCTCCATCCCCGCGCCCCCGTAGGGGTCCAGGACGACCTCCAACTTGTCCTTCCAACCTGTGCGTCCGCCCTCGGCCCCAGGGATCGCGGCATTCCCTGAAAGGGCCACGCCGAAAGTTGGCGCTGCTGGTGCTGTCGTTGTTGCCATTGCCATGCTCGCGACGGCCTGTTGCTTCTGCAGCCGCACGAACGGCTTGACAGCCTCCTGCGCCAACGCTGCAGGCAACTTGTCGTCCTAAGCCGACGGCTGGGCCATGCCCATGACCTTCGCGAGGGCGTCGGTGTGGGAGTTCTGGCGCTTCTGCGTCATCATGACCTGATCCTGCATGGCATGCTTCTGGGCCATCATGCGCTCGCATTGGTCCGTGACCGTTCTGAGCGCCACCCGCGGCCCCAGGTCACTCTGCCACTTGGGCGGCTTCGCTGACGCCTCTGGTGCTGCTGGCGCTGCTGGTGCTACATTGGCTGCTGCTGCCGCTGCCGTCCATGCCGCTGCCGGGGCTGCCTACTGCTGCGGCGTTGATTTCTTCAGCGAGCGCTACACCAACGCCAGTGCAAGGAGGTGGCGGTGTCCTGTTGGCGATAGCTTCGGCTGCCGTCTTGGCCGTCTGCGCCTTGGCCGTTGCCTGCGCTGCCGCCCTCTCTGCAGCCGCTCCATGGTCATTCTCTGTGGGCGTGGCCATGCGCCAATCATCGTCACCATGTCCCCCCTCTGCCTCGCGGAGCTGCTGGGCAGAGTGTTGCAACTTCTCGACCTGTATGCGCAACGTGGCCTCCTCGTCGAGGAACTCCTCCACCTGCGAGCGGATCTTAACCATCCGCTCCTTGGTGTTGCGCCTTCAGCTCGCGCAGCTGCTTCTCCGAACCCATCATCGCGCTCATCAGGTCCCACTCCAGAGCAGGGTCCTCCTTTCCTGCGTCGCGCACGGCGACCAGGAGGCTTCTGGAGGTTTGACAATGCCTGGGATTTGTACTTTTGGGTTTCCTCCGCCTCTGGTGGCGGCGGTTCCCCAGACCGAACTCACGGAGCGTCCAAATGCCTCCGCCCTCGGCACCAACATCTTCCAGCAGTCGCACCTCCATTGGGAGTTGAGATTCCATCTGTCACATGATCGACATAGACACGAGCCGCCGCCCATCGCACTGTGGTGCGACTGCAGGAGGTCCTTCGCCTGGAGCATTCGAGTAGGCGGGCCTGGCCCCGCTTCTCCCTCCGCCTCTTGTGCCACGCTGGCTCGTCCTGCTGCCGACGGCGCCCGCAGCTGCCCAGCCGCAAGCCTGACCGCGGGGGCTGTTCGCGGGCGCGGCGCGTGAGCCCTGGGCTCCCCAAAACAATCTGAGCCAGATGGGCTTCCCCCCTCCTCCCCCTCCTCCTCCCCTCCTCCTCCTCCTCCTCCTCCTCCTCCTCCTCCTCCTCCTCCTCCTCCTCCTCCTCCTCCTCCTCCTCCTCCTCGTCCTCCTCATCTTCCCCTCCTCCTCCTCCTCGTCCTTCTCCTCCTCCTTCCACCTCCTCCCCTTCCTCCTCCTCCTCCTCCTCCTCCTCTTCTTCTTATTATTCTTCTTATTATTCTTCTTCTGCTGCTTCTGCTTCTGCTTCTGCTTCTGCTTCTGCTTCTGCTTCTGCTTATGCTTCTGCTTCTGCTTCTGCTTCTGCTTCTGCTTCTGCTTCTGCTTCTGCTTCTGCTTCTTCGTCTTCGTCTTCGTCTTCGTCTTCGTCTTCGTCTTCTTCTTATTCTTCTTCTTCTTCTTCTTCCTCTTCCTCTTCCTCTTCCTCTTCCTCTTCCTCTTCCTCTTCCTCTTCCTCCTCCTCCTCCTCCTCCTCCTCCTCCTCCTCCTCCTCCTCCTCCTCCCTCTCCTCCTCTTCCTCCTACTCCTGGCATTGCTCCTGGGAAGCACGGCCCCCCCGCACGAGGGGCAACGTTCGGGGAGGACGCGCTCAGGAGGGACACGTCGAGCTGGAGTTGGCGACGGTCGGTCGGCGATGGCCCGCCGGCAGCGGAACCGCACGGTCCCGGGCGTCTGCCGGCGATCCATGGACGCTCGGGGATCGATGGGCTCCTACGTGCCTGCCCTGATCCTCCTCTTACAGTGGGGGCGCGCATCAATCGGGAGCGGCCACGAGGGGGGTGTCCAAGAAGGGGGGGTGCAAATCATGGCCGGCGGCATGTGCGCGGCCCAGCGGGGGGGCCAGGAACGTAATGAAATAAGAAGAGGCACCTTGAGATCTGGGGAGGTACCATGGCCCCCGCTATGATATCCACCCCCCCTAGTCATCCCCCCCTCTTTCCGCCCCCGAATCAAGAAACCATATGCTTTTCGTCAGGGTATCCTGGGTTTCTTTGCTCCTCGCGCTGCGCGGCGACTCTCCGCAGCCGTTGAGGGAGCTGCTGCGTTCGGGGTGCTCCGGGTTTCCCCCTCAGGTGCACCTCGCGCACGGGTTCTCAGGGTTGGTTTTCTTGCGGGGGGTTCTTGCGGCCGCGCCCGCACTGCACGTTGCCCATGACACCCATCCCTTCCTATTTTGCGCTGGGGTCCTTTGCGATTCGCCGAGTCGGGTGTCGCATCGGACTTGAGTGGATCCACGGCGGCATCTGTGAGGCTCGATCTGCGAGCAGGGAGGCCATGCGAAGCGGAGAAGTGCAACAGACGAGAGAGCCTTGCGCGCATGCTGACGTGGACATGATGCACGTTTTCTTATTCGCCGTTTCGACATTCGGCGGAAGGGGGGGAAGGGGGCAGGTCTGGCCCCGGACCTCTGGTCAGTGCGACTATTTGCAGCAGTGCGTCCTATCGGTGGAGTCCACCTGCTTGAATCGGGGGCGCGCAAACATGCATTGGCGATCCATGGATTTGGCGCGCGGCCGCCAAATCCATGGATCGGGCGAGGTGCCCTCCTTGAAATGCGGCCGGTGCCGCCTCGCTCGGCGGTGGAAACCCGCGATTCCCCACGAAAACGGGACCCGTCGCTGATCCACGCCCCCTTGATCCAGTCCGCGATCGCCGGATCGAAACAGATTACCAGCCTGGAACATATCCCTATCCCTATGTTCGGCATCGCCTCATCACGACGGCGATCTTAGGGATCCCCTCAGTTTCTGAGGGTGCATCCCTAAGATTGTCATCGCCTTTTGGCGTGTCTTTTGGCGTGTCAATCTCAGGGATAGGGATAAGTTCGAGGCTGGTGAACAGACAACATGCGAGACATCGTCCCGCTCCCTGCCCCTGGCCACGGGGAGCCTCGCCGGCGATCGCCTGCGGCCCGGGGCCGCAGCGGGCTGGTCCTGGCCGCCTCGGAAGCGCTGTGCACCCCCGGCACTTCCGCGAGCACCTGCCCGGGCTCGCAGACTGCCTGCGGACAGCGCGGGCCGGGGGGCCGCTGTTCAGGATTAGTTCGCAGGGTGACCATCAGGTGGGGCATGTCCCCCTATACAGGCGAACTTGTGACGAAAAATGCAAAATACTCAAGACATGTCATAAACAGTCAAGAAAATACTACAAACATCGTCCCCAGACGATGTTTTAATCTTATTTCTGAATTTCCTGTAGAGGGACGTGCCCGACTTAAGACTAGCAGCATTGGCGCGATCAGGCTCCATGAGCGCGAGGAAGCCAAAATGTAGGGCAGCCTCAGAGGGCGTCGAGCCTGGGCCGCCCTCGAACGACAAGAGGGGACGTGGGACGCAGGAGGGCATGCTAACAATACGTGCCTGGTGCCGGAAACCCTGAACCCAACAATGTTGCCATTTCTTGGGGACGAACTTTTCACTTCCACCGGCTTCCGCCAACCTTCCGCCGGATTCCGCTGGCGGCGGCGGGAGACATCGTGCCCAGACTATTCTTGGACTGTTCTCAAAACGACACCAGAGAAAAACCCCAATCAATGGATGGTCTTCGCTGAGGAGATCGACCGGGAAACCGGGAGCCCGGGGACCCGGAACTGGGAACCCGGGAACCCAGCCTGCCACCACAATCGGCGGGAAACTTTCGCCAAATCTTTCAACTTCCACTAGGACCCCTTCAGTGCAAGCACTGATTGGGGAATATTCCTCCTGTGGACGGACATGCCCGACTTACGTCTATCCCTTGGTGGCTTGCGGGGGGTATTGTTTGGGCCTCTTGCGACCCTCCGATGCGGACGGCCCGCCCTCGTCGAGGCGCAGCTGCTGGAGACTACCCCGAAGCTCTCCGAGGCTGGCATGGGCTGCGAAGAACGGACGAAGACGCTACAAAGAACCTCCGAAACTTTGATACCCTACCGTGGCCCCGGAGCGGAAAGACCCAGGCGTAAGTCGGGCCAGTCCTCCTACAGGAGAATTTTGGACGAAGAATTAAAAAGAGTCAGCAAATACCCCCCAAATGGCCAAACAAATATGCAAAATATTGTCCCCAAACTATTTTTCTTCTATTTTTGAATATTCTTCCTATAGATGGACGGGCTCGACTTAACCCAGGCGTCCCAGCGTCTCGGAACACGTCGGGGGGTCGGGGCTGCCGCCAATTTTCCCGCCGCCGGGGGGAGGGGGGGGCCAGTCGTGAGCGTCCAAGAGGGGGGGCGTCCAAGAGGGGGGGGCGCAAATCGTGGCCGGCGGCCTGTGCGCGGCCCAGCTGGGGGGGACCGGGGACGTGTTGAAATACGCAGAGGCGCCATGAAAACTGCGGTCTCGTGGCTGGCAGAGAAGCTCAGCGGAGAGGCAGCGAACACCGCCGCCGAGAGTCCATTGGGGGGGGGGGGGGGGGGATCCCTGGCCAGTGGCACGCCCGAGCTGGGCAGAGAGCTTTCGTCGCGAGATGGGAAGCTCCCTCCCTCCCTCCCTCCTCCTCTCCTCCTCTTCCCTCTCTACCTCTTCTCCACTTGCAGGAGGGAAACTGTGCAAACACAAACTTTTGGCGCTCCGCGTGGATTTCTTGGATCTGCGCTGAACCCCCCTCCCTGGCGCGCGGAGCGCGCCAAGGGCGGCGCCGGAGGCGCCGCCAGGGGGGGGGCCCAGCGCGGATGCAAGAAATCCACGCGGACGGCCAAACGTTGATGCTTATGCTGTCCTTTGTTCTTCGAGGAGCTCCTTCCCTCCTCCCTCATCTCCTCCCCTCCCCTCTCGTCCTCTCCTCCTCCTCCTCCTGCTCCTCCTCCTCTCCTCCCCTCCCCTCTCGTCCTCTCCTCCTCCTCCTTCTCCTCCTCCTTCTCCTCCCCCTCCTCCGCCTCCTCCCCCCTGAGCTTGGCATCGAGCGGCGGACCCACGCTCCCGGCAACCGGCGCCCAGCACCCGGGTGACGGCCGGGCGTGCCATCGCTGGCGGGGGGTCGCCCCGGCCGCCGCCCCCATCCCCGAGGGGTCCTCGGCGGCGGCGGCCTCCGCTCCTCGTCGGAGAGACAGGCGGCTCGGGCTGGAAAGCCAGCCTGTGGTTACGTCGGGCCTGTCCCTCTCCAGGGGGAATATTCCAAAATAGTCAACCAATAGTCTGGGGACGATCTTTTGAGTATTTTTGGGCATCTTTTAGGTATTTTGGGGGTATTTCTTAATTTTTCGTTCAAAATCTCCCTGTAGGGGACAGGCCCGACTTCAACCTGTGAGGGAGGGGGCCGAGAGGTCCAGAGCCGGCGGCGATCGAGGGGGGGGGAATCTCGGGCCCGAGGTTCGAGGTTCGAGGGCGTTTTCGCCGTGCGGGAGGGGGCCGAGGAGGTCCAGAGCCGGCGGCGATCGAATCGGAATCTCGGGGTGCGAGGTTCTCGGGCGCTTTCGTCGGTTCTCGGCGGTTTTCCAGCCTCGGGATGTGTTCCAGCGCCTGCGCCTCGCCGAGAGCGCTTCGGGGGCGCCTGGGTCGTTCCGAACGGCTGCCGGAGACCTGGGATATGTCCCAAAAATTCCAAATCGGCGGCGAGCGGGGGGGGGGTGGGAAGCGAGAAGGAGTGGGCCCTTCCAGACGGCGGCGGATCTTCCCGCACACCCTCGCGCCTGCCGAACATTTTTACAGTGCGGTCGCGGTCGCAAGATACCCTCGCAGGAAGCCCAACCCTGAAAACCCGCGCGCGAGGTGCACCGGAGGGGAACCCCAGAGCATCCTCAACGTAGCAGCTTCTTTGACGGCGCGGGAAGTCACCGCGCAGCGCGCGGAGCGAAGAAACCCAGGGTAGCCTGACGAAAAGCAGATGGTTTCTTGACGCGCGCCCCTTCTGCATCTACGGAGAGTGCTGTCGCAGACCTCCTCACAAGCTTGGACGCGCGAAATGGGTACGGACAAATTGGGTACAGCGCCCAACAACAAATGTTGTCCCAAACCAACAGCGGCCGCTGTTGGGCAGGCGGCCTTCTGTCTCGAATGGACACAGGCCGCGGCGGCGTGGACAGCGAATCCGGTCCAAAATGAACAGGAACTGCTGCTGGGCACTGCACCCATTCTCTCCGTACCCCTCTCGGGCGTCCAGAACAAGGCCCCGGGCCTGCCGAGCCATCCGAGGCCTTCTCCTCCCGCGTTCCCCCCTCGCCTCGCCGCCGACGGAGGGCCCCGCGCGGCAAGAGCCGGAGCCGCGGCTGCCCCCGGGGGAGGGCGAGGGGCCCCTCCTGCTGCGGCAGCCCTCCCGGGCTCGGGGGCGGCCAAGAAGGGGGGGGCGTTCAGGAAGGGGGGGCGCAGATCGTGGTCGGCGGCATTCATGTGCGCGGCCCCGGGGGGGGACCGGGGACGTGTTGAAGCAAGGAGAGGCGCCGTGAGATCTGGGGAGACATCATGGCCCCCGCCATGACATCCACACCCCCCCTGGTCGTCAGCCCCCCTCTTTGCCGCCTCCGCCCGACCCGGGTCACGCCAGACCCGGGCCAGTCAGGCTCTGCAAGATCCTGCAAGGTCCTGCAGGATTCTGCGCCCACGCCCGGGCCAGGGCGCCCCTGGCTCCTGGCTCTGCATAGGATCCCGCAAGGCCTGGCGCTCTGGCGGACCCCCGCTTGTCGGCGGCGACGATAGGGGCGAACAGCTCAGGGGCGGGCATTACACGTATTCGCCAGGGAGCCTCTTCGAAGACATAGATCACTGGCGCACCTGAATACATGTATTGCTCTGCCCTGGGCTATTCGCCCCCTTCCGTCGTCTCTGAGCTTGCATTGACCCCCGTCTCGAGGCACCCGGCGGATCGGTCCGCGAGGGCCCCCCAGGGCCCGCAGAGAGAGGGGGACGGCACACCGCGCCCCCCCCCGCGGGGCCGCGTGAGGCGCCGACGTCGGTCCGCAGAGGGGGGGACGTCTGAGGAAGGGGGGGAACCAACAGGCACTCCGAACCTCTTATTCAGATGCCGGGAGGGTGACAAGCGCGAAAACGCGGGGCGTTCAACCCTGCCTTCCCCGGCACCACCCCCGCGCCCCAACAGAAGGGAACGGACCCCAAACCCCCCTATAGCCCCCCCGCGGACGCGCCGCGGCCAAACCCCCCGGGCACTCCAAGGGTGGGGCGATTATTAAACGATCCAAAATACCGATACCGCTGCTTCCCGGGGACCTCTCCCGGGGTGCGCTCGGACCAGAATTTCGGGGCGAATCCGGCGGTGTCGACGAGGGCGAGGGCCTCCGAGGAGGCCCAAGAAGGGGAAGACGAGGCACTGGGTGGAGGTGTAGGTTCGGTATACCTTTTTCCCTCCTCCGAGAAGGCGAGGGGCCCCTCCTGCCGCGGCAGCCCTCGAGCCGAATCGATCCGTGAGGGCCCCCCGGGCCCGAAGCGGGCAGGCGGAGCCGCGCCCTCCACGGGGCAGAGTGCGGCGCCGCGCCCCGTTGCTGCCGCAGGGCGCGAGCGCGCGCCCGCCAACGGGGCCTGGTAGTTCGGCAAGGAGGCGTAGCCGCGGCCGCCGAGCCCCAGCAGGCGCGGGTGGACACCCACCGCCGAGGACGGGTGCTCCTGCAGCGGATGCCAACGCTCCGTGGGCATAGGCTGGCCATCGCTCAGACGCATACGATTATGCCCTGTGCATTGTCTTCGATGCCGTGCGTGCATTGTTTCGCGGGGTGCCCCAAGAGGCTCCTCGATGCTCCCCGCGGAGACGCAAAAAAGAACGCGTCCGAGCGATGCCAACATAGACTTCTGGAGGTCCGCGCGGACTTCTCAGGTCTGCGCTGGACACCCCCCCCCCTCCGCAGTAGAGCCCAGAAACGAAGCGATGAATCGGATCGGCAATCGACATGAATCGGATCGGCGGAGATCGGCAGCCGAGTCGGGAGAAGTCGAATCGAATCGGAATCGGAAGCCATCGACACCGAATCGAATCGCATCGGGGGAATCGAAACGAGCCCCGCCCCCCCCCTCCGTGGCGCGCGGAGCGCGCCAGGAGTGGCGCCGGAGGCGCCGCCAAGGGGGCCCAGTCCAGATCCAAGACATCCGCGCGAAGCTCCGAAACGTTCTGGTTGTGCCAATCTCTGTTCTTCGAGCTGATCGATCCGTGGGCCCCCGGGCCTCTGGACACCCTCTCGAGAACCGCGCAGACCTCCGTTACTACTGATATTATTGCTACTATTATTATTCGTATCACTTTTGTTCATACTATTACGGTTACTATTATTATTAGTAGCCGTAGTCGTATTATTAGTGCTACCATTCTTCTGGATTGCCATTGTAGTAACTACAACTATTACCATGAAGTGTAATAACATGGTTGTTACCACCAGCAGTAGTAGTAGTAGTAGTAGTAGTAGTAGTAGTAGTAGTCGTAGTAGTCGTAGTAGTCGTAGTAGTCGTAGTAGTCGTCGTAGTTGTAGTCGGAGTAGAAGTAGAAGTAGAAGTAGTAGAAGTAGTAGAAGTAGTAGAAGTAGTAGTAGTAGTAGTAGTAGTAGTAGTAACATTAACAGTAGTGCTGTTATTCGTATTACCATTCGTACTATTACAAATTCATATAGAAACAAAGGAACAATGTATGGTTGGAAACTTAGTGTTATTGAAATTGAGGTCGATTGTGAGAACGATAGTGATATCAATGTTGAGCACGATTGTAAGGTCCATCGTGAGGCCAATAGCGAAATCGGATCAATGAGATCGATAATGAGATCGACCGTGAGATCGCTAGTGCGATCTATAGTGAGATCGATTGTGGCATCGATAATGAGATCGACAGAATGGCGGGTAATGAGATCGATGATAAAACCGATCGATGAGAAAATCGCCCAAGAACCCGGACCCCCACCGCACATCGAAATTGGCCCGGAACCCGGAACCGGGAACCTGGGAACCTGCAACCTGGAATCTAGGAACCCGGCCGCCCACTGAAATCGGCCCAGGACTTTCGCCCAATCCCTCAATCTCCGCGAGGACCATTTCAGTGCAAGCACGGATTGTGGAAGTACTATGATTGCCACTATTATTACAATTACTAGGATTACCATTACCCTTTACCACCACCAGTATGAATGCTTTCTCCTTCATCTTCGATCCTTGAACCTCGCCGCGCCGCCCGAGCAGAGGATCGCCGCGCGGTCCCCGCGAGACCACGAGAAGAAGTCGCAGCTCGGCCTCGCATCGCAGGCCGCGCGCGCCTCCTCGAGGGTGTCGGCGCGGAAGAGGCCCGCGTCGCCGCCGTCGCCGCAGCTGGCGCTGAGCCCCGCGAGCTGGAGGTAGTCCCCGATGCCCTTGCCCGGGAAGGGGAACCTCGGGTGGCGCGCGGGGCCCACGACCGCCCCCGCGACTGGGGCTCGAAGAACTTAAACCTCGAGCCTCAAGCGTGGAACCAATATCGCCGGGTCAGCTCGATGTACTTCGTAGGAAAACGCCGCCTGGGCATTATTGGTGCTCTTTTGGGCCGTCCTGGGGCCTTCTTGAGGAGCTGGGCCCTCCAGACGTTCTCTGAAGCCATCTAGTAGGGCCTCCTTGGGGGCCTCCTTCTTGGGGGTCCCCCATGGCTTTCGTGGGTCTCTCTATTGGGAGCCTTCTGGGGGTATCGTGGACTTCTTGCGGGTAGTCTCGGGGCTCTCTGGGGCAGTCTTGGGGCCCTCTTGAGCCGTCTTCAAACCCTCAGGGGGGCCTCTTGGGCCGTCTTGGGGCAATATCGGGGGCCCATCGGGCCGTCTTGGACGCTGCGAAGTCCCAAACAGCGGATATGTTAAGCTTCTACATTTTCCCGAGGGAATGGGACGATGTTTGCTCCTTCGGGGCTCTCTGAACAGCCTCTTGGGGCGTCTTGGAGGCCTCTTGGGCCGTCTTCAGACCATCGAGGTTTCTCTTGAAGCGCTCTTGTGTTGTCTTGGGTCTCCTTTGCGCCTCTCCGATGACCCCTCTGATCGCCTTGAGTCTGCTGCCAAGGCCCGGCAAGGCGCCCTGGGAGGCCTGGAAGGGCCAGCGGACCGTTTCCAAGGGCGTCCAGGGGTCCGCTGAGACGTCCGAGAGGGCGTCCAGGGCGTCCCTGGGGGGGGGGTCCGGTTTAGGGGGAGGGGTGTGGGGGGGGTCCGGGAAATCGAAATATAAGAATAGGAAAAGCCCTCCCCCGTTGCGGAGCCAGAAACAAATGGACAACCTATCGTAAGCCATTGTTTTTGCCGCTTGGTGCCCCATCAGGGGGCGTCTGGGAACTCGCATGTGGACAGGCTGTGGCAGGTCTGATTCGCATGGGCCCTATGAGCTCCTGAAGCACAAAATGCCCCCCAGGGGATAATTACCACTGAAACAATGAGCCGATAAACATCTCGGCGTGGTGGGGAAGGCGGGTGGCGCGGGCGAGGGAAGCCACAAAGCAGAACGTGCCCCTGGGGCCCTCAATGGCTCAGGAAGATGTGGTCCCGGGCCTCGTGGCGGGAAACACATCCGAGGACAGTCTTTGCACAGCTTCTGCCCCTGGAAGGCCCTTGCCGGGCCCCAAAGCAGCCAAAGAACAGCGCGGGGCCAGGAACGCGTCCCGCAAACAAGGTCCAGAACTCTGGAGGTCCGCGTTGCGACTAATATCATGTCGGAGGTGGTCTGGGTGGGGAGTGGGGGCAGGAGGGTTTTTTGGTGTTTTTGTCTTTCTCCTTGGCTGCTTGGCATTGCGAGGAGTGGGGGGCGAGGGAGGCTCCCAACGAGCCCCTCTCAGGGGCAGCTGGAGGCCACGCCAGGCCGAAGGCTGAAGCTGCCTGCGCGCTGTCTGGGCCCAGCAGCTGGAACAAGGAAGCGGCGACTGGAGTGCAGGCAAAACGCAATTCAAATGGCCGATTTCGGACGCACTGAACTCAGAAACGTTTTCAGCTCTTGGGGGCGTGTTGTTTTACTTCCGCCGCCTTCCGCCGGACGACGCCTTCCGCCGCGCTTCCGCCGCGGAAGCGATGACAACTTCTTCGATCCTGGAAGACAAAACGCTTTTTGGACAGCCTCCAGTTAACTTGCCAGAATCCCATTTCGGGGGAACGTCGGGTTGGGAAGGGCCTGCGGCGGGGTTGGAGGTGACAGTCCAGCCGAGGTCGTTCGCAAATCCCACCTTGGGATAATCCCTCCTCTACGAACTCTGGAGAAGGAGACAAGCCTGAATGGGGCTCAGGGACACACAAGTAAAAATACACAAATCCCTGGATTCCTTACATGTTCGCCCACATGCTTTGGATGGTCGTTGTCCCCTGCAGTTCCAGTATGTTCCCGCGGGTCGACGCTTAATTGTGCAGGTGTGTGTGTGCGTCTGTATGTGTGTGGCTGTGTGTGTGTGTGTGTGTGTGTCAGTGTGTCTGTCTAGGTGTGTGTGTGTGTGTGTGTGTACTGTGTGTGTCTCCGTGTGTGTGTGTGTACTGTGTGTGTGTCTGTGTGTCTGTGTGTCTGTCAGTCTGGGTGTGTGTGTGTGTGTGCATGTGTGTGTGTGTGTGTGTTTGTGCGTGTGCGCTCGTTCGTGCGTGCGTGTGTTTGTGTTCTTCACCCTTGCCACCGTGGTTCGCCACGGCCGCCCACCGCGCTCTTGCCCCGCGCGCCTGGCTGCTGCTGCCCCCCCCGGCTGCTCATAGTCGAATTCTTCGGCGTCCGAGCGTTCTTCGTCCTCTCGGCCGTCCCCACCCCCTCTTCGCTCGCCGGCCAAATGGCTAGTTAGTGCCCCATCCAGCCTCTCGCTGGAGCGGAATTCGCCGCCCCGCCGCTGACGAACAAGTGTCTGGGTGCTTCCAAGGGCCTCCCTGGGCGGGGCTGTGCGGGGGGGGCCTCGGGGAAAGGGGGGGGGCTCCAGCGCTGCATGCGGCTCTCGGGGGCCTGCCCCCCTCCCCCCCGCCTCCTGCAGGCGCACCGAAGAAAGGGGTGGCCAGGAAGAGGCGAGGGAGGGGATCAGGGGGGGAAGGGGGGGGCGAGGGAGGGCGAGGGAGGGGGGGGGGGGAGGACGAGATGGGGACGAGGGGGGGGGGACGAGGGGGAAACGACGGAGGGGGGGGAGGACGAGGGAGGGACGTGGGGGGGGGACGAGGGGAGGGGGGGACGAGGGGGGGGGAGACGAAGGGCACAAGGGGGGACGAGGCGGCACCAGGGGTGGGTGGGACGAGGCGAAACGAGGGGGGGCAAGGAAAAGGGGGGCCAGGGGGAAGGAGGGGGCGGGGGAATGGGATATGTTAAAGGAAGAGGAGGGGGCCAGGAGATCTGGGAGACCGCGTGGCTCTGGCCATGATACCCACACATGCGAACGAACACACACACACACAACCAACACCAAGACCAAAACCACAACCACGTCCAAAACCACAACAACCACGACAACAGCACCATCAACAATAACACCAACAACAACTGCAGCACCAACAACAACACTGACGACACCAGCAACGCCAACACGAACAACACCAACAGCAGCAACAACACCACCAACACCACCAACAACAACAATACCATCAACAACAATGCCAACAACAACACGGACAATACCAACACCAACACTACCAACCATACCAATAACGCCACCACCACCACCACCAACAACAACAACAACAACAACAACAACGTCAACACCAATAACACAAACACAACCGACAACAAACACAACCTCAGCAGCAACAGCACTAACAACACAACAACAACACCAACAACAACAGTACCGCCCCCCACCAACAACACGAATAATGACAACCACAACCGCAACACTAACAATAACACCAACAACAACAACCGCTACACTAACAACCAACCACAACCACCACACCAGTCACAACACCAGCCACAACCGCCACAACAACAACCACTACAGCAACAGCACCACCAACAACAACCACAACAGCACCACCAACAACACTAACAACAACACACGCCAGCACGCACACAAACGCGCAACAGCAAACGCACGCAAGCACACACAGAAACTCCCAGAAGCACGAACACAACACACAATCACACAAAATCACACACAAGCGTAAGTAAAACAACGCACACAGAAGCACGCAACATCTCTACAGCAAGCATTTGCTCCACGGCGCGCTGGTCACAATCGGTGAAAGACAAGAGGGAGAAAGAGACAGAGGGGCAGAGAAAGAGAGAGAGAGAGAGAGAGCGGGAGATACAAATACTGCAAGAGAGAGAGAGAGAGAGAGAGAGAGAGAAAGAGAGGCATAGACAGAGAAACTGACAGAAAGAGAGAGAGAGAGAGAGAGAGACATACATGTATGTGTGTATATATATAGCGAGGGAGAGAGAAAGCGAGACAACAAGTAAATATGATACCGCCGCGTGCAGGAGTGGCCGTCGTGGGTAAAAAGAGAGAGAGTCGTGCCAGCGGAGAGTTGGCGGGCACGCGCACACGCAAGGCACAGGACACGACACGACACAACATCACACATAACGTCAGATCTCATCATATCACATCACAACTGGTGGGCTTGTTTTTCACCACCACCACCAAAAGTAGAAGAGGGAGGGGGTCCTCCTCCTCCTCCTCCTCCTCCTCCTCTTCGTCCTCCTCCTCATCCTCCACACCTTCCCCCCTTCAGCTTGTGGTGGTGGTGGCAAACAAGTCCATGAACAACACCCACCCATACACCCAGCCCTAGTCCTTGAGGCATCCCACATAGTGTGTATGGGGTTGAAGTACAAGGGCACAGAACCCCTGATCCGTTGGTAGAGAGATGGAGGGATAGATGGATATCTTTCCCTCCCACGCGATCAAGGTACGATCGCTCCAACTCAGTACCTGAGCCTAAACGGCCAGGTGCGGGAGAGATAAGGATAAGGAGTATATATGAGGGTATTATACGGGTTCCATTCACACCCCCCGTCCCGAATCCCGCCCGTTAAGGCAGGACTCGGGAACAGAGGAAAGGAATCCGTAACCTCTGAACTCCTTTAGTCCTTAAGTCAGAAAGGCAGCTGAGGCTTAAAAAACAGCGAAGCCACAGCTGCAAAGTGAGGTAAGAAGAGATACCCTAAGTCCCCCTTTCTTTTCCAGGCGCACTTTGGCGCCCCCTCGGTGCGCCCCCCAAAAACGCTTCGGCACTCGATGGAGGAGAAGAATGAGACAAGGGTAGGCGGAGAAAGAAGATCTGAGCATTAAGGCAACATGCAATCTGCCTCGCAAGATTTGCGAGGCAGGCGTTGCCACCAGCTAGCAGATTCTCGACGCAATATCGTTCAAATTGTTAAAAATATGCATGCTAAGATCGCATTGACGAACACAATCTTGAAATGAAACACAAGTCTGCCTAAAAAACAGATGTATGCTAAGATCGCGTTGACGAACACGATCCTGAAAAGAAACGCAAATCCGTGTAAAACAAGTGTCTGGCCAGACAAAATGTCGTGTTGATGAACACGAAAAAGGATGTATAAAAGTCTGTTTGGCGACTCCCGTTGGCGTTGCTCCTTAGGAGGCTGCCTCGGTGATCGCAAAAAAAAAAAAAAAAAAAAAAAACAAAAAAAACAAAAAAAAAAAAAAAAAAAAAAAAAATAAAAAAACAAAAAAAAAAAAAAAAAAAAAAAAAAAAAAAAAAAACAAAAAAAAAAAAAAAAAAAAAAAACAAAAAAAAAAAAAAAAAAAAAAAAAAAAACAAAAAAAAAAAAAAAAAAAAAAAAAAAACAAAAAAAAAAACAAAAAAAAAAGAAAAAACAAAAAAAAAAAACAAAAAAAAAAAAAAAAAAAAAAAAAGATATATATATATATATATATGTGTACGGCCACTTGTTGGAATGATTGAAGCGGCCTAAAAGAATATATTAGCCACCGCTCAAGGCGAACTTTGATGAAAGGAAGTTCTGCTCTTGAGCAGTGGGCCTTGCGGCCGACTCACTACGCGTCGCCGTCCTTGTAGAACCTGCGGTCCCACGCCCTCTGGCCGTTGTACGTCGCGTAGCTTGTCGTAAACGTTTCCCAAGTTGCCCTCGGGATCCAGTTGCGGAACCAATCGTTGTACGTGATATCCTGGATGTACACATACTCGTCGTTGTTGATCGCAATGTAGATCCAACATGTGATGTAGTAACTCCAGTATCGAAGACCCCAGTAGCTGTCCTCGAGGTCGTGGCGCCAGTAAGCAGCGTAATCAGATGTACGTGCTCTCTTGGCGCGCGGCATCGCGGGCGTGTAGTCCTCCGCGCCTGAGGCGCTGGACGCAGCAGCGTCGCCTGGAGCAGGGCGCGGCGGCGGGCGCGGCGGCGGCCGCGGCTCCATGGCGTCGTCGGACTGTTGGGATTGTGTATCGGGATCGGTTCTCATCCCTGTACTAACCCCCCTCTGGTCGGTGTGTGACGGATCGAGGGGGCCGATCAGCTCGTTGGCGATCGCGGCAAGCTTGCGCTGGGTGAACTGTTCACGGGTTCCGTCCCTTCGAGGGAGAGAAACCGTAACCAGCCCGCGCGCCTGCCGCGTCTGCCTGTAGATGCGCCCCTCGTTCAGCCACCACTTTCTCCGACCAGCCTGTCCTGTCCTAATGCTGACGTCAAGGATGTCCCACGCGTCGCGCATGTCCTCGACGGTCCAGGGCTTCTTGCCGACATTCACGCGGGCACCTGTCATCTGATGATGGAACTTGAGGTCGTTGAGAAAGCGTTGTATGAGATTGGCGAATGGGTAGTACAGAGGTCGGTCGTCCTCGGATTCGCCCATTAATCTGCACTCGTGTGCAGGCGGGCTACCGGCTTCGACCCACTTCTGATACCTCTTTTTGGACGCATTGGCCAATCTCCGCAACTGATCTTTCTCGGTGCCTATGTGCGATCGCGCACCCGTCATAATGACGTGCGCGCCATCCTTCATGTATCTCGCGATCTGGTCCTCAGACAACGTCGTCTTGATCCAGTTCGTCGACTTCTGCAGGTACGCGAGATCGCTGTGTGGCGGTGCTCTTACCTGTGGCGCCTACGGCCACAGTGTATTGCCAACAGATATCACAAAGTGCGCCGTCACCTGTGACAATCCCGAGGGACAGATCTCGACCGCAATTTTGACAGAGCGGTATGGGATGCAAGATCGTCTCGGGGGCCCCTGCCGAAGTCAGGTGATCGCGGGATCCCCAGCGGGTGTCCTGACCGCGAGCGAGGCTCAAACCGATCTGATTGATCGCCTCACGATTGATCTCCGTGTTCGGCCTGGAAGCGATCGATCTGCTTAAACCCTCGATCTCGATCCGAGACAACCTTTCCCCTGGCAGTCCTTTGTACTCTATCTTGATGTTGTCCGTATCCTCAGTACCGCCATGGCATACGGTCTCCTCACGAAGACGGCGAGCCTGCTCCTGCAAGGTAGCCTCGTTGTCGCCCTCCTCGCGCGTGAGTCCCGTCTGCTCGGCTATGCTACGTACCATAGTTTCCTGATCGGGAGCTGCGGACGCAACACTGCCTGGGTCCTGGGGAATATCCTGCTCAGCGCCTTGCTCTCGAGGCGCAGCAGGTGTTTCCACCAGCTCTTCCCATGCAGGAAAATCTGGATTACCGCATGTCTCAGTACAATTTTTGAATAGGTCAGGCAATGCCTGAAGTGCAGGATGGTTCTCATGGATGGCCTCTTTGGCGAAATCTGGAAGCTCCGCAATACTATCTTTCAAGATGTTCTGGTATACTTTGGAGATCCATTGAAAGATGCCTGTGGTCGACTCCTCGATAGTCTCTGGGTCGAGGTAATGTACCAACTTTTTGAAGAAATGATCTGCACCACAATTAGGTAAGTCACGTGCCCACTTGTGGGTATGATTGTAGTTCAATTGGTATGACTCCGCATTCCATGCTTTCGATCCAAATCGAATTTCAAATTGTAAATGTGATTGAATTTT